ACTTTTAGCAAAATATTCAATGAACTGACAAAACAAAAGTGGAGACTTTGGGCATAAAATAAAAACTGCATTTCAGACAAAGAACATCACACTGACAGTAGACATGGAGAGGGTAGTGTGATGGTCTGTTGATGCTTTGCTTCTTCAGGTTCTGATTGACCTGCTGTAATTGATGAAAACATGAACATGAAGTCTGCTCTCTTTCAGAAAATGTTGAAGAAATGCCCGACCATCAGTTTGTCACCTAAGGTCATATGTGTCTAATTCGGCCCATGAGAGCTTCAAAGATGTATGTCAATTGTTTTACCCACAAGATATCAGTACAGGGTTCAAAAGTAGCCGGCAACCATTAAAATTTGTCATGTAAAATCTTTATTTCAATGCATTTTTGCTGGCTACATCAGTGTTTATAATAAGACACGTTAAAAAGCTGTTTCTGTGCAGGAAATACCACAAGGAGCTCAGTTATTGTATGTTTGCAGTGCTCAGCTGTAGTAATGTGATTAGGAACCTGAACTTTTAGTTGAAGTTAAACAAAACATTAAAGTAAATTACAACTGGCCCTTTAAGGACAACTGCAATGCTCATAGGGCTTTCATTGAAAATGAGTTTGACAGCCCTGCCTTAAAGCTTAAGCCTTTTTCACAAGACAGTTTGCAAAATCACAGCACAGAGCAGTCTGGCTTTAAGCTCCCTCAGGTCATTCATAAATCACAGGTGAAGCCAGCCAGTTCCCACTCACAGGTACGTGTTCAGAAATGATCCCGCAGTACGGAACCCAAAGAAGTGTACAACTGAATTAACTAATTTTAGGCATCCTGTGGTTCAATATTTCTTAAACTAGCTACAAAGTTGCTGCTTCACGTCATCTTTAATATTCCCCAGTTAATAAATCTTGTTAATTACAAAAATCTTTGTTGATTAATGCTGCGGTCGCTCATTTTTTGAGCCGCAGCACCACGGGTTTCGTTTTCAGAAGTCGGTCTGCCCGGCTCTGACACTACGTCCCATGGTGGGTCAGAAGGATGTCAGAGGTAGGCTCACTTCTACCCCCCTTTACTGCCTCTGTATTTTTTCTAAATGATCTGAGAAGGACAGAACACACCTCAGTCCCGGACTAAGTTGTCTTATAAATGAGGCTTTTAACTCACTTGGGTTCTGTTGCTGGACAATGATCCAAAGCTCACCAACCAAGTTCCCACACAGTGAAAGATTCATAGCCAGTTAACACAAACACTTGTTTGCCCTTATTTCCACCAAGGGTGGTCCAAACAGTTTAGAATTACTTATTTTACTTAGGGACAGGTTTGTTTGAAAAACAAAAAGTTAAATTATCCTTTGAAAACTGCAACTTTTACTTACCGGTACTCGGGTTATCTTTGTCCGGTAATAGCATTTAGTTGATGATCAAAACAGCTAAAGAAGGAGTGAATCACTGGAGCAGAATGCTTGTTTCATATGACTTTTAAGATTGATCTTGCTTGATTTCTCTGTGGTATATTTAAATGAGACTTAGGAACTACACTAGTTTGACTATTTTTTTAATTTCTAGAAGGTGTTTAGTTTTGTTGTAGGCAATTACTGTCTGATGTTCCTTTATCTATACACACATACGATTCAGTTGAGTTTATCTGAGGCACATTTGGTGAAACTCACAAACAGACACTCCAAAGAGCTTTTCCTGCTTCGCTGACAACTAGATGATTTTTTTTATTTCATTCATTTTGATCACAAAAGCATCCCCTAGCATCAGTATTTTAGATAGAAATCCTCTAAAAGATTTTGCTGGATGATGGACCTAAAATTTGGAGCCTGAGTGATGTAACATGGTTCTAAAGAGCGGAGAGGCAGCCAGATTTCCCAAGCAGTGTAAAGTGATAACAAGCAGAAACACACAATTGAACACTCGGCGGTCACACACTCAGTGCTGAGTGAAGAGGGACTCCAGTTTCAAATGTTTTAGCAGGAAGTGACATGGATGACAGAGGAAGCAGCTGGTCCTTAAACCCGTACATGAACTCCAAGCAGGCGAACAGAGACAGACAAACAGAGCTTTTGGCAGCAGAAGCTGAAATGGCCAAATCAGATAAGGAATTACTCAGAAATAATGGGCGATACTGGTGCAGTTTGTGCTTTATTTGGTGCAGTGAAATTAAATTTAAGAGGTGATAAGAAACACAAAGAAAGTTCTGTTTTTAATGGGGAGAGCCTGTTTGTTTCTGTTTACATTGTATACTTGCACAAATGTCTCCTCTGTGTGTTGGTGCTGAGGAAGCCATCTTCCTGTTTGTTTCAGCAACAGTATTGTACATTTATTCAGAGCAAACATCCAGAGGACACTCACTTGGGAAAGTGCATTTTTTCCTCTTATTTTCTCATTTCTTCTCCACACTGTGTGACTAAATCAGTACACGTGCATAAATCCCCTGCTGCTGGCTGTTCCTTTGGGACGATGTAAGAGACAGTGGTTCTAATTACATTTTCATTTGAATCCCTCGTTGACTCACCCAGTTCTGCAAAAGACAGAGAGAAAAAAAAACATTATTTAAAAACAAACTTAGATTGTATTCCTATTTATTTAAATCTATTTATTTAAAGGGGCAATATCATGTAAAATCAGCTTTTTTGAGTTTTATATCATGTTATAATGTTATACTCTCATCAAAAACATGTCCAGAGTCTTGCTTTGACTCATTCCTGCATGTTTGAGAAATCCTGTAGTGTCCTGAGGCAGCCAGACAGGGGAGCAAAAACAACCGGTTGGGCCTAGAACCGCCTTTTGGGATCAGCTCCTCCTCTGGACTGTGTCTCCAAGCTGAACTTCCTCATCACAGAGCACACACACCCACCAGGCCCCATGCTGACATGGGCGGGACAGAAGTGGAAGGGGGTTCTTATAGAGACAGAGGCATTTAGAAACAGATATGATGAGAAGTCAAGTTTATTTTCTATTTAAACATATAAACAGCATTTTAATAACAACTGAAGGTGACATAGTTACTTTATTATGGTATAGAATTTAAATATATGCCTGAGAAACACATAATATTGCCCCTTTATATAAAATCTGCATTAACCAATTTAGACATTTGCATTTATGTTTAAATGTGCTTCTGCTTTATTGTTTTTTCAATTTCTCATAGGTGAATTGTTTTACAGCAAGGCTGTCAAATTCATTTTCACCGAGGGCCACATGAACATTTTGGATGCTTTCAAAGGGCCTGTTGTAATAAACTTTAATGTTTCATTGTTAACTTCAACTAAAATATCACATGCCATGTCTGAGCACATCTAACAAACAGTAAGTAAACTCTACATGATATTTCCTGCATAGAAACAGCATTTTAATACATCCTCTTATAAACATTAAAAAATGCTACATCTATGACTGACTAAATGTGAAATAAATAATATAGTAATAATATTAAAAGTAAAGGCAGGAGAATTTTACTCACTGTTAAATTGTGGTGAGTAGCTGCCATCTTTAATCTTGAACTTTCCCATTTTCTGACTGGGAATTCCTACTTGAGGCAAGTAGGGGTCTCTGCAGAACATGTTGTCCTGTGGGCGGAGATGGCCCCACTTGTGATTGGCGGAGGTCTTGATGTGGGCAGAAACAGCCCAAGAGACATGATTGGTTGGATTGACGGTGGGGTTTGAGGAGGCAGTGGGGGAGTACACTCTAAAAATGAAATGTTGGATTTACTTAACCATGTTATGTTACCTGGTTCCACTTAACTGAGTTGAGTAAATTCAAAGCAACATACTCATGTTCTTTGGCTAAAAAACTGGTATATTGCTTTGAATTTACTCAACTCAGTTAAGTGGAACCAGGTAACATAACACAGTTAAGTAAATCCAACATTTCATTTTTCACAGTGTAGCTTGGTCGACTCAGGCAGGAAGCAACATGTTTTTAAGATTAATTTTAGTCATAACTTGAGATAGGAAAGTGCTAGCTTCACGAACTTTGAACGTCTTACATGTGAAGGGATGTGTAACAATATGCCTCAGTTAAAACATCCCTAAACGGCCTGTAAAAAATAGCTAAAAATTTATATTTTTTACAGGCTGGTGTGTGTGTCTTCTTGAATGGGTGTTCTTAAATGTAATTTCATTGTGCTGCGTACAATGACAATAAAGACATCATACCTGCAAAGATGGAGAAGACAAAAATCCAGCAAACAAGTGTATATAATAATATTATTATTATAACCTTGCTGAAAATTATAGATGCATACACATACCCATATATACATGTAAAGACACACACACACACACACACACACATACAA